AAAATAATTTTAGTGTAACTTTAAACAGTCATTTCTCAACAAGTTAGAATAATTCTTACCGTGAACTCCATGCTCAAACCCGTAGGACCAGAACACATAGAAATAGCCACAAAATCCGGCGGCAGCCATAATGACCCCTATTTGAAAATACGACCGCAATATCAACGCTCTGGTGACCAGTCTGTCCCGGGTCGGGTGCCGTGGTTTTTGGCTCATGATATCGTTTTCGGCCTTTTCGTAGGCCAGGGATATAGCGGGCATGAGGTCAGTGCCCAACGCTATTAATAAGATAGTAATGGTGCCAATGGCTTGCGGCAGGCCTAGGATGACCAGGAATATGAACGGGTATAACGTGGTGACACTACCGGCGCATATGTAGCCTATGGTCTTCTTCATGTTGTCGAATATGCGTCGGCCCTCCTCTACGGCCGTCACTATAGACGCGAAGTTGTCGTCCAATAGTATCATATCTGCCGCTTGTTTCGAGACGTCCGACCCTTTTGTCACATTAATGTCATTATTGAGTATAATTTTAAAAATTATATAAAAATACAAATACTGTAATAAGATTATGAGTAGGTTTGAGCATGGAGTTCACGGTAAGAATTATTCTAACTTGTTGAGAAATGACTGTTTAAAGTTACACTAAAATTATTTTTATATTATAATATTATTATATAAATATAATAATAATTAGCAATCACTTTATTCAAATATCAAATAAGTGTTCCTTGGATAAAATATTATTTACTGTTTGATAGAACCACCCACCTATGTTATGTGAAAAAGTTATTTCTAATAATATTTAAATATAGTTTATATTATGTTACAGTATTCAAACTGAAATAACAATTTGACAAAAGTGTCAATACAACATAATAAAGCATACCGGCTATGCCCATGGCCACTCCGATATTAGCCTTCTTGAGTGCGGGCGAGTCGTTAACCCCGTCCCCCGTGACGGCCACTATTTGGCCCAAACTCTGACAGTTCTCCACAATCCGCAGCTTCTGTTGGGGCGATGTCCGGGCGAACACGATCTCCCGGAAGTCACTCAATATGTGCCGTAAGTCGGTGTCCGTCAACTGCGCCAACTCGTCGCCGGGAACTACGATCGACGTGCTGTTGGGT